CCCCCCAACCCCCCCACCCTTCCCACACACACATGCATGAACACTGCAGCTTCCCTGGAAAGCCTGGTTCTGGTCTGAGCATGCTTACTGGAACCTTGAAGCCCAGCAAGCTGCCAGGGTATGGCAATCTCACTCAGAATGCCAGATGCTGCAGACAGAACCCTTCCGGCCGACAGCTTTCAGCACCACACCACCATGTCTGATTTCTTTACAGCCAGCAATGCATTTGTATGCAATTTCTACCTTCAAAATCCTCCAGGTCTGGTTTAGCCCCTGTATCTGAGGTCTCAGGGCTGGACCTGCCATGCTGGCAGCTTGGAGTCCTTGGCTCTGAAGTTGCCTAGTCCTTTTTCTTTCTTAACTACTTCCTTTCTGAACTCCTTAGCTCATCTACAGTGAGGTTTCCAATATTCATTTCTGGCCAAAAGAGAGGTGTACAGTCCAATCCGTAAAAATAGAAACTGAGGCAGTGTGTTTAACCTGAAGATCCTAAAAGCCAGTTACGATGGCAGAATTGTGGCAGCCTGTGAGGGCAGAGTTTTGGAAGCATCTTGCTAAGCAAGCAGCACTGCGACCCATCACAGTAAAAAGCAAACTTGCCATAACTAATTAGCATGTGTTCATCACTCACAGAATGCCAAAGACCTGCAGCAAGAACTGGACACAGGGAAGATGCTTCTCAAAGGCAACCTCTTAGCTGTCTGTGGTGGCTGTGCACAAATCTGTAGTCCCAGCATCCATGTTTCGAACAACAGATCAAAGGCAGTCTCTTGACACATTAGGTATGTTCCCTTCTCCCCAGCCAGAAGGCAGTGAAAGTCAAATCATGTCACCCCTCCACACCCCTGACACTGCTAAGGTCTCAGGACACACTTGGCTTCAGTACTATCCCTCAAGCCATGTCATTCATCAAAGGGATCCTGTGATACTGGCACTTCCTCAGCCCTCAGAACTATGAGTGGAGGCCCAGACCACAGTAGACAAAAAAAATATGCCAAGCAGAGCCTGGACCAGGGGCCCAGCAGAGGGAAGCAGGGTCGTGGAGTCTCTAAGCACCCCAGGTCTAATTTACACAATTTACCAACAAGGCTCATAAGAGCCCATGGGGCTCAGTGCCTGCCCCCAGTAACAGAGGTTGGAAGAGGATGAAGGACTTCAGCAATGCACCTGCCTGTACAGGTTTCCTAAGGATTGATTCAGGTTCCCTTCCCAGCCTCCATGTCACCTGTTGCTATTTCCTCTCCCAGAACTGCTATGTGGTCTCAAAACTCTGGCTGTCACTGTGATGGGATCAGGTGGTGAGTGGTGGGTCACAAGATGCTATCCCCTCTCATGGGCCTATACAGTCATACCCCCTCCACTCCATCATTAGTGATGCTCTCCTAGATGATACTGAAAGATGGTCCATGCCTGACAGCTAGGCCCCATCAGATACCCAGCCTATGGGGTTCCTGATGCCCTCCAACCCAGCTGGGGACAGCCTCCATATGGTCTCTCTCTTTATAAATTACCTAGTCTGGGGAATTCTGTCATTTCACCAGCAAACAGACTAAGCCAGAAACATCCTCCTCACCTCGCTCCAACTGTCAAATGCCTACCCACTCTCTAAGGTCTACCATAACACCACTCTCCTTTCAAGTCCACTCCACGACTCCCACACACTGAAAGGATGCCTCCCCACTTTCCCCTGGAAGCCCTTCCTATTGCATCAGGACTTTGCCTGGAGGTCACCATGTGACCTTCTCTTTCCTTCCACTGTATAAGTCCTGGGAAAATTGCTGGCTTCCTCACCTCCTAGGGCAGTAGTTCTCAACCTTCCTAATGCTGTGACCCTTTAATGCAGTTCATGTTGCGGTGACCCCCAACCATAAAATTACTACGTTGCCACTTCATAACTGCTGCTACTATGTAATTTTGCTGCTACTATGAATCATAATGTAAATATCTTATGCAGGATAAAAGGGTAGAAACCCACAGACTGTGAACCGCTTCTATGGGCTCTGGAATGGGAGAACCGTCCTTGGGCCCAGCAAACAGCTCCACAGGATACCCTGTCTGTTGCCTACATCAGCTTCCATCAGTATCTCAAGTCCTCCCTCCACCCCAGAGGTTTTTCTTCAGTGGCCACTTTCTTGCTTTGCTTCCCTCATTAGACACCCCATGCCATCTGAATGTCTGTATCTCTGTCTACATGCAGTGGCCCTGGCCCTTGGCCATACCCCTGCCCCAGATTAGGCATATAGCAGAGAGCCACCTCTAAGCCTGGATCCTGGTTCAGCTTTTGCCCCTCCCTAGGTCTGGGCCCACCTCTGAAGCTACCTAATGGCTGGCACAAGGCATAGACTCTCTCTGCCAATATCCCCACAAGTGTTTTACCATTCTCAATTCCCTGTACTCCAGTACCAGCTTACCTCTCCAGGCCTGGTTTACAGAGCAGCAAGAGATGAAAGTTTCACTGACCTCTAAAATGGATCCTTATGTCACTCTTGCAAATGCAGCTATTAAAATGTAAACCCCATGATGGGATGGCCCCAGTCACCTCCAACTCACAGAAATCAGCTTCTCTTTAACCATCAGCAAGCTGACCCCGCCTCTTCCCTGTACCCTCCTGCCTCCTTCCCTGGAGATCCTAAACCGTCCATTACACACTGCTGCCTACAATTGCTCTCCTGACGCCCCTGTTGTAACTTCTCGCAACACAAGTATGTCTATTCGTTGAATCAGACATGATTTCACAGGACCACAGGCTGTGCTCGTTTCTTGTGAACTGTGGCAGCCTTCACTGAACTGTCATCAAGCACTGAAAGAAGCTGGTTCAAGAAAGTACACAGGGCATATTATGGTTCCCAATTACTTCACCTGCTGAGGATAAATGACCACTGTGGCTCTTCTCCTGAGAAATCAGAACAGAGAGTTACCTGGATGAGGAGACAGAGCAGGAGTCTGGGAACAGCAGGCCCTCATGCCTACCCTTCTGAATTAGGAGACAAAATTGCCAGTTAGGGAGGGCTTCAAGCTGTTAGAGGGTGAGCATCCACAGTGACTCTGTATCCCCCATACCTGTGGAAGAAGACACCCATTCTCTAGGGCCATAACTACACCAAGCCAGAGGACAGATAGATCAATGTGGTCTCTTGCTCTGGGCAAGGGGAGACCTGCCCTCAAGCCTGCCAGTTCCCACTCATGCCCACGGCCTCTCTGAAGGGCAGCTGAGGATGCCCTAGACTGTGGGCCAGCTGGTGCCACCAAGACAGCAGCTAAGTGCTTTTAAGTGACACCCCTCATGGCCAGATCATCTCCTCAGTGTTCCTTCTATTTTGGGTGTAATCTACTGGCCTGTACTCTTATGATGCCCTGGTTCCCCAAGGCTGCCACAGGTTCAGCTCTAAGGACAAGGACCTTGTGCCACCCCTGATCAAAGCTCTCTGTGAGCATGCATCCTGGTCCACTGGCCTTTCCCAGCTTGTGATCCCAACTATGTTCCCACCCAGGCCTCTGTGCACTAGCCGCATGTCTGCCTGAGCCCACTCTACTCTCCACCAAGAGGCCAGACTCCCCCACAGCACTGGTCTCCCACTCCAACTATCCCTTCCTAGACAGATGGTTCTTGTCTCAGCTCTGAGTGTGCTAACCCCTGCATACCCAGCTGCCTTCCTCCATCATGTCCTTACATTCTTGCCTAACCATTGTTGCTTATGGTCCACACTGCCTCTTCCATTGCTCCCTGGACGAAGGAAATATTTACCACAGAAATGGCCTGGGAAATGAATCTGAACAAGTGTCAGCCTGCAAATGAGAAACTGAGTCTGAACAGCCTTTAAGTCACTGCTGGTGACCAGTTTTAAGCTCCATCACACCTGCAAAATACAACCGTGTCTTCCCCACCTTCTGCACAGATAAAAAAAAAAAAAAAAAAAAAATGATGGGAGGACATTGGAACAATGATAATTCTTAAAGGCAATCAATCTAAGAGAGCCCCGTAATTGTAGCTGGGTTTGTTTTTAGACAGGGTCTAACTGTGTGGCCCAGACTTCTCTGGACCTCAAGATCCTCCTGCCTCAGCCTCCTGAGTGTTAGGATTACAGGCAGCACTTGCCATCAGCCTGGCTGTGATTGATGTTTTAATTTACCCACTTGTCTTCAGCAGAAATAAACTACCCTGTCTGCTCCCCAAAGAGAACAATTAGTATATTCTTTGCTGGCATTTGTGTAAAAGCATGAATCCGAAACAGAAGTAAAAGGAAAAAAAGTAAGGAGAAAACTTAGCACTTTTTCCCTTTAATAATCTGATCTATAGGTTTTATTTCAGAGTTAGGCAGTGATTTCAGTGGAAGTCTGAGGAAGCAGCTGCAGCAGGTAAGACGTGGAAAGCCCACAGGTTTGAAGCAAAATATGGTCGGGGTGTATAAGGGATCATGTCTCAGCGACTACATCATTGCACTCTCCAGGGAGTACTGTCCCTGCCACCTCTGAGAGGTTCCCACAGAGCCAGAGACTTCTTCAGGTTTTACTCTTTAAAAATTCGCCTTCAGGACCCCAGTGGGGTTCTGCACCAGCACCTCCATCTGAGGGTTATGACTGACTCTAGCGTATGTATTTTTGAAAGAAGCGTTGGCAGCTTTAAATTCAGGCACAGGTCCACGTGTCTTCAGCTCACACACTTGCTTCTACCATTTTAATCCACCTCGGAGGAGGGGGACGCTTGTAAGCATGTGTGAAGAGGCCCTCCATCCACTGCAAGAAGGGCTCTGCTGGACAAGTGGGCAAGAGCTACCCACCGCGGGCTAGTGCCCTACCTCTTGCCCTCTCAAAACTCACCTCCGGAGTACTCAGGCTCCACCTGGCCCTGGGCCCCTCCCGTCCACCCTTTTCCCAGATAGTAGGAGGGCACGTCTCCAGCCTCTCTTTCCACTGTGGACCCTGGGCCACCAAAAGGTAGCACAAGTAAGGCACCTGGGCCTGGGAGCTATGGCGCAGCCTCGGACTTTCTTAAACGCCAAAGGGACTGGGAACCAAGGCCCCTCCCTGGGCTGCGCCCGAAAACCGGGTAAGGCGGCCGGGTGGCCGGGAAGGGACTGTAGGGACCTGAGCCCACAGCCACGCCGGGCCTGGCTCTGGGCGCACCGGGGGCGCATCGCCCATGCCTGGGACGGGG